ACGTGTACGTGCAACACATAACGGGGGGCGAGAATAGAGATGACATGTCCATCGAAAATAAGATTTGTAGTACAGTAATACAGAAAAAATGAGTCGATGATGTCTCTTAAAATTTTTAAATCTGTTCTGCCGTCTCCTTTGCATTACAATATGCCCTCCAAGAGGGAGCTAGCAAGAAAAAGTATCGTTCCAATCCTCTCTCGGTCACATCAGTTTGTTTTAGTTTTGTCTGGGCCAATCACATCAAAGAAAATGGTATAGACAAAACTGTCCATGGTCCGACCTGTAAATCAACTTCTCCTCTTGAAGTTCTCTCCTTGATGTAAAGATAATTCGGTATTTTTCTATAAAATTTACGAGGATTCAGAGCTAAAATTGTTTCACTTCAGCGGCACAACAACTTTCTACTTGACTTTGAATTTTATAACACGAATTTTGGTTGGTCTATGCTTCCTCAAATACGTTATTTTGATGGGCAGTAGGAAATTCTATCGTTCAGAGCGTGTGTTAAGAAAATCTATATCAATCAAGAAGTAAATAAATAACCTTTTCCTTCAATTTCCTTCACACTCAGGAGGTTGGGAGAATTCCCATAAGTTATGCAAACCCGAGAATACGCCTTGTGTTTGCATAACTTTCTCAATTTCTCCCAACCTCTCTCGTGTTTAGATGAGGCTATGTAAACACGGAAAAAGACTTCCCTCTTTCCTGCAAGAATTTTCAGGAAGAAGTTACTCCAATTTGTTATGGAAATCAGTTACAAAACTAATGACGAGCAAAGATCATCAGCCTAAATAGAATCAAGCTCTTAACTCGTGATATTATTTGTAATTTTCCACAGGCTTCTTTTGGTTGTTGTTTCCTTTTTTGTGATCGTTGTTGCTGCCGTACCTATTTGGAAACTTTCAGTTGTTTAAGGTAATTCCTTCGTTGCTAAGCTCTAGAGCCTAGCGCAAGCTGCGTGATATTAGAATGTAGAATTTGTTGCGGAAATTGTTCAGAGAGAGGAAGAAAAAGTTGTCCCGACCCACTAAAAATTACTGGGTGATTCTCAATCTCGTGTTTGTGAACCCACCATATTTTTTTTTGATCCGAGCTTTGGAATAAAACATGGAAATATATCATTCGTTTTATATCAAATAAATGAAAGAACCAATTTTGAAGCCAAGAATAACCGTTGATCCTTTAGTGTGATCGTTCAAGTGAGGATGATCAAAAAACGACTTTTATGCGCAAATGACTAAAAATATATCTGCACATCTAAACTCACTTTTTGTTCGCTTTAATCACATTAATATCTACATGCGGTAAAGTGAGAGGTTGTTGCAACAAAACAGAGCACGGACAAGGCTTCTCTATTTGTTTTATAACAAAGAATCCATTAAATTCCTCACGCATTACTTTCAATTTTCAAGACAAACTTTATTTCCAAAGGAAACGACAGAGTCGTTAGCATGCTCTATACTCTCGTAAAGTACGTACAATAAGCCAATCAGAATCCTTGTTAGAATAGTTCAAATAATCTAATTGGCTGCACAAGACTAAAGCTGTCAAAAATGTCAAACCATCAAAGTTCACATTCTAGTTTACAAACTTAATACTTCTGCAAGTCGAATTTAACTCTTCGCCTGAAGCCTTTACTCTCTAATACAGAATCTGAAAATAAAATTTTCAGTGAAATTCGGCCGAACTATGGCTCATTCACTTAACGCCTCGGAAAGGATATCAGAGCAAGCTCTTATTTTTCCACTCGAAGGGCGGCCGATGTAGTTCCTTTGGCTTGCTTCACTGCGATGACCAAAGATCGCCATGATGAGCTAGCCGCGATAGACCTCAGCATGATAGCAGTCGCTCTGACACCGTCATGATTAGTATGAATTTTAACATTTATGCCAGTTTGTTTGTAATTTTCGTCATTCCTGTTTGTGCTGTTTTTTTTTTTGAACACGAAACTTTATATAATATACGAGTGTTAGCTGTGTTTGATTATTGTTACCGCTCACGAGAGCTGCTAAGAAAGTTTCTACTTTATCAGCTTTTTACATATCGAAAGTTAACTTACCTGTCAACCCCGTCCAAACCGTAATAACAACCATAGCCAAGATAATCAAAAGCTGATCTGCCAGTTTCACATTGGATCATATTTCTAAATTGCCACACATTCCTCTTTACCCGTAATGGGAACTTGCCCGCTGGTTCTATATTTGAAATGATACATTTAAGCAAAATCCACAGGATTATGAAAGTGTCTATTAAAGCGTATTTTACAGGCCAAGAAAACTATGTTTTGAATATCAACTCTCATGATTTCATCAGTTATGGGATTTCTGGTCCCAATTGAGGGGTATTTAGTTGTGCAAAAAAGATGAAAAGTATATATTGAGTTCCTCTGGGGGGATTGGGCCACTGATGCATCGCCGATCGACTTCGGGAAATGAGGTGATCAGAGGAGAAGGGTCTCCTCTGGGAGACCAGAGATCAGAGGAGAAGGATCTCCCCTGATCACGCTGGTATGAAAAATATTTCAGCTGAAGTTTCCATAATTTGTCTGTGAACTAATTGAATACATCTTATAATTTGTAGCAAGATAGAATTCCGTAAGCTATATTATTGCAGTCGCTGCGCGCTACACAAAATCTGTGAAATGTGCACTTTCGATCGCTGTCCACGGGGGTGGTCTGACCAAAAATCATTTTTTGGCTTGTGGCGACGCAAAAAAAGAGAATTGGAGAACACCTAAACTATAATTGAAACATGAGTACATGAGGAACAGAGCACAGTCAAGGCTACTCTATACTTGTTAATTATACAGCACTTCCTCAAAAATAACAGATCACGTAGGAACATCAACTTAGTTTCCGAGAAGGAGTAAAAATAAAAGGTCTGTTTAAACTTCTCTCTCAGGCAAAAAAGAAAATAGACAGAAGGGATTCTTGTAACGTATCTTACAAACATTTGACCGGCAAATTTCACCCCATTTGATGTTGTTGTCATGAAATCAAGTTTACATTGTTCATCTGAGTATTTCGCTCCCATGCCCTTTTACGCGCACAATTGTTTTAAGAGCAGCTTTAGTCAAACGAAAAATATACAGCTGATCTGACTTCATATCTTATTAAGTGTAAAATGTACCGCGAAAATCCAGGTGTAGAATTTAGACAAAAGTGGGACATAAAATTTAATATAGATTCTTGAAACGTGAGACCCAGATTTCCTTATATTTCCAAAAATCATCGGAAGTAATGTTTGAAAACAACGGTCGAATGCAAACAAGTAGTGGAAGATGAACAACACAGGTGGTCCAAATAAGTCAGTTACCGAACTCACTGATCTCCTCGTTAAATTTTGAGAGTCTGACACATGGATCGAAGTTATATTAGGGGAACATGGAGGGAGGTTAAAGTTTTTAGCAGTTACACCTCGGCTGTCACTTGATTTCAGCTCTTGAACAATTTTCTTTGCATCTCTGTGTGAGTAGCGACCATATTATTTCAAGACATATATTAAGTTAAAGAGACATTTAGTCAGTCGAAGGGATATCCAGCATTATTTAACGCAGAATTATTGCTACCTTTCGAAATGCACGATTCTATTGCGGTGAAATACAGCTCAACCGGTGTTATTTTCCCAATCCGGTAGCACTCGACGCAAAGTTTAAGCAGTGAACAATAACGGTCATTACCTCTTATTTGAACATGATTTCAGACAGATATCAACTTGGCAGTTCATGGTACGGTCATGCAAAATTGTATTCAAGTGTTCCAATCATAACCAAAGTCGATGTACTATAATTATTTAATTATTTGTTTCTTGAGCATGCATGCATCAATGCGTTTTCTTCTCGACTTGTAAATGATAAACGGTTAGCAAGTTTCTGATGCGGAATCGAATGAATATAGTTCTTCCAATCTTGAATATTTCCTCAATCGAAACCTTCCTCAATTGAAATTTTTTACATTCGACTCCCAGATTTTCTCGGTACATTTCGTACGTAAAGTCGATAAGATTTAAGTTAGCTCAAATTTACGGTTGACCTTTGCTACTACGAAAAAAAAAAAAGAACGAGCTTTACGGGAGATATTACTTTGACACTGATAAGCATTTATCGAAAACGTGATACATCACATAAAACGTGCTCGTGGAATTATTTTTAAGGTTCGTTTCAAGATTCCTTTCAGTTCACCTTCCTTTACATGTGAAAGTCGGAGTTGAGTTAGCATATTACAACATGTCAGGAACTTTGCCGTGCATGTTCCTACGTGACCTTCAATGTTTGAGGAAGTACACTGCTTCAGGATTAAGAGGATGATCATTCAAATGCAGTTAAAAATAAAGGAAGCAAGAGTAAATTTTTTGAGAAATCAATTGATTACTCGTGAAAATATGCGTTAACCTCAAAGTTTTCCGCTGAGTTTCTGCTTTTACATTGCGACTTGTTCCTTCTCAGCGAGATTTTGCATTTGGTGTAGATGAGAAAGAATTGATTTTTCAGAGAAGCAAAATGGCATGAGCACGCACGGCAATTTGTAGTTTAAAAAGGTTTTTAGTGCTTCACTTATCAATAATACAATACGTGATGAAAAGGAAGACAGAAAAACAAACATGTGAAGATTTGAAAGAACGGGCCTTAATTTCACATACAAAGCTTATTCAATTGATTGATTGAAACAGATCACAATATTTGTCTAATTCAAAGTTTTGATAGACTATTATTTACTGAGTGATCCAACCGTTACTTAGCAGGCCCGTTTGTAATTTATACTCGTGTTACAAATTTGCATCCGTGTCACATGAGAATCATGCTCATTTCTAGCCAATCAGAACTTAGTAATGTTTTTATCTATGTTTTAACTTTTGAATTAAATGTACATATTCTGTATAGAGGGTACATACGATGCGAATTGCCCGCATGAAGTGATAGTAATTTCTAACGGATATGATCATTAATTAATTCTGAACAAAGCCCTTCTGATAGAACCAGTTAACTCTGTTATTGTACGTGGCTCTCTCTGTTGCAAAACGTTTCCTTTCAAAATCATCGCTTTGGCAGGGACAGCATAACGGCAAAGTAGGAAATAATTACCCCGACAATCTGGAACGAGGAATATCATGCCGTTAGCAAAGAGAAAACGAGAAATAGCTCGTGATCAGTACAGAAGACGACAAAATGTTACGGAAGTAAATGCATTATTCACTGTTAACAACTTATTTTAGCTGTTTTTTTTTTCAGTGAGAAGAGTAAGCTGCTTTTATTTTACAAGTAAAAGAAACCCTCAAGTGAGGTAGCAGAGAACTTACTGTTAGAGACATTGATTTGTTGATCACTGCCAGTCCGCCAACAGAAAGACCCTTTGATTCGCCTTGAAGTTCCAGCATAAACATCACCAACTAAAATATAAGTCCAAAAGTTTGTCACTTTAAGGGTGTTACTAAACTATGGATCAGCAGACTGCGAACCTCTAGAACCTCTGGAACCAGCGGAACCTGTGAAACTATTAGCTTTTTGTAAAAATAATGAAATAAAATAAAAACTAAAAATACCTTAACACTTTTCGAAATTTCGTTTTCGGGTATAAAGAAGATAAAGTTGAAAGAGAAATTTTTTTTTCAATCTAGTCAACCACAGGAAACTCACAGGAAACCCAAGCTCACACAGTGAGCCTCTGTGAATATGCAAATATGTTAGCGTTGCGCAATGGGTGAAATATAAAGATTTGAATGAAAATGAACATTCGCGCTCTCAACCTTTAAAATATCTGTAGTAGTTTTGAATAAGGATAAATTCACCTCACTCAAATAGTTGTTCTTTTGCATTTTTTTAGTTTATCTGCTTAGTCCTCTATATAATCTTTCCAAGATGTGTCTGTGAGTAACGCCAACCAACGAATCCACTGGAGGCAAAACGCTGTGAATCGCGAGTTCGGACGCCCCGAACAACCCGAATTTCTACAGGCATATAACCAAAGTCAAGCGTAATTGTGTTCATCATTTGATTGAAAACATCCAAACGTTTAGGTACTAACTGAACACGAGGAGGAAAATATATATTAGAGAGTGCAAATTTACAAATAAGGAAAATATATACCTTAACGGTGCATTGCTTAACAGGCGAAAAACAAAGACGCTGTTTCTTAAAAAGTGGACATAAAAATTGATCTAAAGGACTAAAGTTATACACAAAACCTGAAAAAATTACTCGACATAATTACGTAACATCACGCAACGGTACAAACATCAACCGCAAGTACACGATACGACTAATGAAACGTACAAACACTCACAGGTAACTAACTCGTAAAAAATACACACAGAAAACAACATGACAATAAGTTTCGCGATAACAATGCATCTCAGGCGATGATGTTACTTTACGATCGTGATCTCATTCCAGCATCATGTTCAATGAAAAACAATTAAAGGCCGCCAATTCCAGCGTAAAGGAGGTGTTACTCGATATCGCGGTACCCAAACTGCTTTCAAATTATGGTTCAATTATTAACACACGGGGAAGGTGAGTGCTGATTGTACCTTGTGACATTACATACCCTTGTATAGTGAATGCCGCCACAGTTAAAGTTGGACGTCAAGGACATTTAAAACATATTTTCCTTTTCTAGTAATCTTTATACCCGAAAACAAAACTTAAAACAGTGTTAAGGTCCTTTCAGTTTTATCTTTTATTTCATTACTATTCTTTTACCAAAAATATCAGGTTCCGGAGGTTCCGCCGTCTACTGATCCAAAGTTTAATAACACCCTCACTTGAAAGCTCCATGCCTTACTTATCAAATTTACTTACTGTATTATTTGTTATATTTGGCGTGCATAGATCACATCTATGATGAACAGGTCGGTTTAGAAACTACAGGCAAGCAGGGGCGTACAGAGAGACTGACAGAAAGCTGAGGGGAGACGCACCGACAGCAAAACGACTCGTGATTGATTATTTTAGGCGTGAATCACCTTTACTTCCTCGTCTTTTGAAATTGGAAATGCCTCCAAGTCCTTTTGAAAGCTGTGAATCTGGAATAAATTAGGTAAACAAAGAGATGAGAAATGATAAAAAATCAAGTCTTAAGGTTAGACATAGAATAAACATTGATATGCAGTTTTGGTGGTGAATTTTGGGTGAAGCTGTGACGCAGGTAATTTATGCAAACATTAGGAAAAAAACGTTCTACTACTACTACTCTAACTTTACTCCAGGTTAAAACTCGAAAATCTCCATTATGAATTACTTTACCTGTTCATTGACCTTTGACCCAAACACCATGATGATTGCCAGGGTACAAACAGCAAACAGAAAAAAAATGAGGGTACTGATATGAGACACAAATTTATGCCCTGGAGATGAGTTAACCACCAGATAAAAGTTAAAGCAAATTAGAGGAAGATATACAGAAACCATCCCAAACATAGGAAGGCGAAGCATCTTGTCGGCGAACTCGACCACCTCACAAAGCTTACGATGCTCCATTCTAAAAGCTGTTAGATTCAAAGTAAATGGATGCAGGGGCGATATTCTTTGGTGCAAATCTTCTAATAATGCTTCTAGAATACAGCAAGTGATGCAGTAAAAAAGAACTGGTAGGAAGCACGGTCCACAACCAACAATGAGGAAAATTACAGAAACTATTTCAAATCCAAGCCACTGACTCCAAGGCTCACTGTAAGCCACGTTTATTTTCAGCAGAAGAGACGTCATCAAGATGCCGGCTGTGGAGAAAATGGAGACGAATCCAAACACAATGATGCCTCTGGTTGACTTAGTTTTTATCTTTTCTAAACTGACAGTGGTGTTAATGGAACATAACTTCATCAGGAAATAGCCAAATCGGGACTTTCTTGTGTCGTTAAAGGGAACACAAAGTACAAAAAGACAAAGTGTTGCGTTGAGTGCTATTAACACGCACCATAAACTGAACAAGATGAACGTGTATACATCATCTCCATAAAAAATAGCAACAATGGCCATCACAACATTAATCCAAAACCCAGCGATCATCACACAACAGTTAATGATCGCAAGAATGCTTGGTTGTCTGTAATGACCAGATGTATGAGCCAATCGTTTCAAACTTGTATCTCCAAGGTACAAGCCGAACAACCTCAAAAGTTTTAACACCGGACTGTATATTTCGTCAATATTTTTCAGCAGTGGTTTGCTGACATTTTCCTGGTCTTCAGCTGGATCTTCCACCGAAACATCGGTAGGTTGCACTGAACGTGGTGCAATCATGTCGTCAAACCTAAACACAAGAGCTACTGTAAGCTTCACTCTGAAAGTCACGCTTCCGAGCTGTTTTGATAAAATTCAAAGCTAATCACTAATTTTAAGTCACAAACCTGAAACCTCATTATTTCTATTTACTCTTCCAGTATTTGAAAGAAATAATTGCTTTTTTTTTAATGTAATTGGGTTTGTAGACTGATAGAAATTGATACTGTAGTTCTTTGGTTGGTAAAAGTTTTACTAATAGCAGTAGCCTCCACTGGCTTTTTATGAAAAAAAAATGCTTGTATAATTACCACATTTCCCTTTTTTCAAAAAAGGAGACGAAGATTCCTTTGCCGGTTTAGACTTTGAAAAATAATTTTTTAAAAAAAGCGTTTCACTTAATTCAATTAATATTTGCTTTTTTTTAGAAAAAGCGATGAGGTTTCATTTAATTGTTCAGTCTTTAAAAAATGATTGGTTTTTTTTTATCAAGAAAGCCGATGAAATGTTTGATCAAATAACTGCATTCATATTTGAAATAAAATTGCCGCAAACTACCAGAAAAATTTGGAAATAAAATCTAATGAAAGGAAAAATCCATGTGTTAGTTTTGGGGAGATGAAGAAGAAGAAAGAAATGATCATCTTAGGCCTCTATGCACGATATTTACTGTAATTCAATTATCATTCAATATTCAACGCAGGAAGCCTTTGCCAGAGCAACACTGTGTACTGGTTTTAGAGGCTGCATGTCAAATGAAGACACTTTCCTGTCCACTTGTTACTGCTATCAATTAGGTGAAAGTCAATATATATTAATGAGACCTTGAAAAGGGGGAAATAGTTTTTATTGTGTGGTCGTCAAACAGGTGAAACATTTCTATTTTATTCGGACACAAAACAATGGGTTGTAAAAGCGTGGTGATATAGAATTTCATGGAAGCGTGGGAGTTGACGGATTTTTTCATCCTGTCATTGTCACGCAATATTATTAAAATGTTGTACGGCTAAGATGTAAAAATTTGACAGATTGACGAGGAACCCGTTTATCCAAAGATGAAACATTGTCGCAAACTAATTTCTGTATTTCTGATTACAGCGTGAAAGCGGTCGTAATATTAAGATATCTTTTCCCTTTGTGAACTATACTTTAGACGTAAAAATAGCATGAAATCCCTCAAAACCTGGAAACAGTGCCATCATCATTTCTTTCGTAAGAATTCGCCACGATGTTTCTCTTTCTGGATACATTCTTCGTAAATGGCGAGGAGCCACGAAAGCTTCACAGCGAGACATATTCATGGGAAATGCATTTATGGTAGGCCTAGATGAAAATGATCCATCGGGAATTCTCCAAAAAATTTCTATAAATCTTATTTTTGCCTTCAAAAACATCTCGAAATTTTTCTCTAAAAATCTGGATTAATCTCAACATTCTATCCAAATAATCATAAATTTGCATAAAGTTTGAGAGCCATGCGGTAAAATTGCGTGGAACCACCTTCAAACTGAATCAAAGTGATCATTTATTGCCACCAAGAGATGACAATCTACCACACAATGTAAGAGATTTTTCAGTTTCTCCTCCCTACAGAGTTCTCTTTTAAACAAACCATAACAACAGTAGACAGTTCGGAGAGTAACATTTTCAGGGTGCCCACCTGGAAGCAATAGAAGGAGAACCATGTAAATTTGCTTTTGTGCTGTTGGCTGTATATTTCTCTAAATTATCGTCTACAAACCCTAAATGTTCTGAAAAAACTTAAAATTTCTAAAAAATCCCCTTTGACTCTAAAAACCCTAAAAAACCCCTGATTTTGTATCTAGCCCTAATTCATGTTGGTTATATGCTTGTTGAATATACATGGAATGTTAAGTGTTCATGATCATTAAACAAGCTTTTATTTTAAATCGAAAGTGATAGCTGGTGTGCCTCTCTTGGAAATATTTTCCTTAAACAGGTGAATGAGCTGTTATCTACAAAATGGTCCACCTTTTATGAATAAATAAGCGATGCCTATGCAGGGGGGTCCCCGCTGCAAAACGAATTTTTCTGATTAACTTCGTTTCCTTTGTTTGGTCATTACAAAAGGCTGTGTTACCTCTAATAGAATTACATAATCAAGACTTGAATGCAAGCTAAAATTTTCACATTTTCTGAAGTGAGTTTTAATGTTTGTTTTGATTTTGAATCCAAGTTGGGAAATATCTTAACATTTCATGACATATATCTTGACTCGATTGAATCAAATAACGTAAGGATAACAGTTCAAGTCACTCTTTTACTATGATGATCAAGTGTCAAGGTTCATTTGGAAAAGTTAGTAAAGTAATTCGAGTGAAACTGGGTTTAAATAAGAACGAATAAATTACTCAGACTAGCAAAATACGTGTACATTTTATCTCCGCCAAAAATAACATCAAAGGCCATCACAACATTGAACCAGAACCCAACAACCATAACACAACAGTTAATACTCGCAAGAATGCTTGGTTGTCTGTTATAACCAGCAGAGGTATAGGCCAAACGTTTCAAACTTGTATCTCCAAACTTGTATCTGTACAAGCCGAACAACCTCATGAGTTTTAACACCGGACTGTATATTTCGTCAATATTTTCAAAAGCGTTTTACCGACATTTTCCTGGTCTTCAGCTGGATTCTCCGACGAATCATCAGCTGGATTCTCCGACGAATCATTGCCTCACGGAACGTGAGACAATCATGCCGTCAAACCCAAACACAAGAGCTACTATATATAAGCTTCACTCTGAAAGTCACACTTCTGAGCTGCTTTGACAAAATTCAAAACTAAGGGCTAATTTTGATTCATACCCTTTCACTTCATTATTTCTACTTGGTTTCCGAGTCTTTAGAGATGAGCATAGCTTGAAAGTTCATTGAAAAAAAAAAAGAAATAAAGAATTCTAAATGATGAATTTCTTTTTCAAGTATGTCAGTGGTTGACGAATATACGAATGACAGTAAATTCACAAATAATCGAGTGAGTGCAATGAATCGTTCTTGTTATGATTTCGGTTTCCAAATTATATCATACGAACACCACGGAGTTTCCGCTATTGAAACTAGTAGTTTTTTATTTATTTAATTAAGCTTCCTTTTTGACCGTAATACTGAGATTGTAAACAAAAATTTTGGTCAGCTAACCGTTCTCAAATACGTATTTGAAAAAAGAACTAAGACAATCGGGGGAAATTGTATGAAGAGTCTTGCTGATAATAAGCGTAAGCTCTGAAGTTAATGTCAACGTGTGTCACTTTCTACACACGAAATGACCATATGCGGCTTTTTTACTTTTATCAATTCTTCAACTTTATTAGCTCCTCAAGCTGATCACAAAGCAGGATAGCAAAGTAAGTCCGTCATTGAAAGATAACATGCTCCAATAACATGCTTGGAGCTCCAAGGGAGATCCCTCCCCTTTTCAGTATACATCTTGTTTTATCATATCAACTACGGTGTTATACAAAGATTTCTAGCCTTGAGAAAAGCGATAACAACACACGGAAATAGAGGATATTACGTGGCTGCGCGGGGATACGAATTTTATCTTCGAGCGCTGAAGAGATACTTTCGAGAAAATAAAATTCGTATCCCCAAGCGGCCATGTAAGGTTCTGTTTATTTTAGATACTGGTGAAATTCCTACATAAAAGAAAACTTTTTTTATTCATTTTCGAAACAGCAAAATAGTGCAATTGAAGTGGTCGCCTATGGCAAAATAATCTTCCTGGATGTTCTTCAAGCTTGGAAAAAGTATCGATGTGAAAATTTGGCAGCTC